CTGTCACCCAGGCTGGAATGCAGTGGCACGATCTTGGCTCCCTGCAACCTCCGCCTCCTGGGTTCAAGCAATTCTCCTGCCTCAGCTTCCCAAGTAGCTGGGATTAAAGGTGCCCACCACCACGCACAGCTAATTTCTTTTTTTTTGTACTTTTATTAGAGACGGGGTTTCGCCATGTTGGCCAGGCTTGTCTCAAACTCCTGGCCTCAGGTGAGCCACTCGCCTCGGCCTCCCAGAGTGCTGGAATCACAAGTATGAATCACGATGCCCGTCCCCTTTTCTAAGTTTCAAGGGATTCTTGTTGTCTTGGGTTTTGTAAACAACTCTAGGTTTACCCTATTAGCTTTCAAGTCTGTGTGGGCTTTGATCATCTCCTCTTTCTAAACTGTATGGTACTAATCTTTTAATTCCTAGCTGAATCTGCTCTTAGGGGATCCATCCATTTAATAAGGGGGTAGCAATCAAATTAAATGGAGTAGAAAGGAGTAGCACAGGGAAGCAGGAGTGAAAACAAGTCTGCAAATTCCACGCACTGAATACAATACCTGTACCCAAATTCCTTGGACAATGAAAGTGAGGCAGGAAAATGGGGTCCTGAGAGAGGGAACACAAGGCCGAGTCACCCTTCAGCTAAGACAGGAAAGATCTCCACAGGGTATATGCCGAGTAAATGACCGCATGACTTTACTTAATCCTCTTCATTTACATAGGGCGTACACCAAGTAACCAATGGAAACCCCTGGAGAGTGTTTAAACCCCCACAAATTCTGTAACGGGGCCCTTGAGCCCCTATGCTCAGGCCCGCTCCCACACTGTGGGGTGTATTTTCATTTTCTACATATTTCTTCATTCTTTCCTTGCTTTGTGAGTTTTGTCCAATTCTTTGTTCAAGACGCCTAGAACCTGGACACCCTCCACCAGTAACAAAAGTACTAGATGTTCTCACCAGAGACACAAAATTAGAGAACGGAAAGATCATCTCATCCAACGTCTCACATTTTACAAACAAGAAAACGATCATGTTGCAAAGGAAATCAACAGAAAATATCACTTTGACACCAATTCATAGCATTTATTGACATTTCCATTTAAAATGCTAGGAAAGCTGTATAAACTGTAAACATGGAAACCAAATACTTGCATAAATTATTTCAAAAACTCTACAGCACATTAGAAAACAGTGCAGCTATTGAAGGATAGAAACATAACCAACAAATAGAAGGGAGGGGTCGATTATTAAATCGTATACCCATACTGAGATTTAAGTGCCTGTTTGAGACCAGCAAACTATGATTGTCAAGTTTAAGTTGCAGTATTGACGCCACAGGTGGCCTCAATTTGCTCTGCACATTTTCGTACATGAACGCTCATAATCTAGGAATGAGTGTGCAGGAAGAGCCAGAAAAACATGGACCTTGACAAAGGAGGGGAGACAAGTCAGCATGCCGGGGCAGCTCTGCCGGGCAACCTTTCCTGTTCACGCCAGCCCAGGCTCCATGCGTCCCAGAGATGCTCTGGAGGAGGGCAAAGTTGAGGGTGTTCCTGCTCCCCTTCTCTGAAACGAGTCCTCTGGTACTTAGAGCAACTAAATGAATGAGTGGAGCCTCAATTCCTCTAGCACTTCCCTCTTCTCTCCCCGCACTTGCGGGAGGCACAGTACAGGGTATGTGACTTGAACTTGGCTCTCTACTGTTCCCAACTTGTACACTTAGGGAGTCAAGTTACGAATACTTGAAATCTGGCAAGTACTAGAAAGACTATTCCTGATGCTCAAGTAGCCCAGAAAGGTTCTGTGTAATCAGGGACTGCAAGAGACTCAAATCACTCAAAATTTCACCTCTGTCCCTTTTACCTATTCACTCTTTTTATTTTTTCAGAGATGGGACATCACCCTGTAGCCCAGTCTGGGGTGCAGTGACATGATCATAGCTCACTGCAGCCTCCAACTCCTTGGCTCAAGCAATCCTCTGGTCTTAGCCTTTTGAGTAGCTGGGACTACTGGCACATGCCACCATGCCCAGCTAATTTTTAAATTTTTTTGTAGAGACGGGGTCTCACTATGTTGCCCAAGCTGGTTTCAAACTCCTGGCCTCAAGCAATCCTCCTGTCTCAGCCTCCCAAAGTGTCGAGATAAGAGGCGTGAGCCACCAGGCCCAGACTACTCACTGTTTTTTAGAAATGTGAAGTCACCCCTGAAAGACCTGGAGGAAGAAGGAAAAGTAAGGATCCTGGATAATTCTCTACCCTGTGGGAAGCCATTTTAACTATAGTGCATTAAAACATTCATTGCTTGTCACTTTCTCACTGGCTCCTAACTTTATTTCATGTTTCCAAAGGCATTTAATATTCTTTTCCAAAATTTCAATGCTGCTGTGTTTTAAGATAAATTATCAAGTCTACTGTCACACACACAAGCATGAACTTGGCAATGTACCATGATGTTGCAATTTTCAAGTCATCTTCATAGCGAAGAAAGTAGTCTCATTTAAACACTGACAATCACCTCCAAGAATATCAAAAGAAACCTGAAGTCACACACTCCTTGTTCATTAGATAACAAGCGTTAAGTCTATTACATTTTATGTTACAGCAGCTGCTCATAGAAACCCTGTTAGAATGTGTTAACATGTTAAATGTAAAAATGAAGTTCAACTGACTATGCCATAGAAATGTGTTTTGTGTTCACATGCTGTCTGCTGGTGCAGAAGTGAACTTTCTCCTGCTCCCGGCCAGGGCAAATATGGATAAGCAGGCTCTGGGACTGGTGTTGGAGACTTGCTCCGGAGGTAGAGAGGACGACAGTGAAAACTCCGCTAAAGTTAGCGTGGGAGTTAAGACTGGAGTCCCCCTACCCCTGTGCGCAGAACCTTAACCAGCTTTCCTTCCCAACGGCAAATTCATTCATGTCTGAGAATCTAGTATGAAAGGGGCAAGAGAGGCTTATGTAATGATTAATTTGTGAATTACCACCAATGCATTGCAAATCAGTGTCCGAATGACTGGTTTGGTCACTGGAGCACTTATCGTGCAAAGGCAGGAACAGTGACCCCGTCCGCAGGAAATGAGAGACTCCTACAGCAAAGAACTGCTGGTTTTAGCCCAAAGCCTTTCGTGCCTACCTTCACCTGTGCTTTGCCTCACAGGCTGCATGCCAGGAAATATCTGGCTGGCAAACACCCACAGCTTAAAAGCCACCCAAATCAAAACACTATGAAATTAATAAAATTTGGAGAAAAACTGTAGGTAGCTGTAAAGAAGCTGAATATATATATTGACAGCTCACTATGCTCCACAAAGGATTTGGCGTGGCCAAACACTGCTGAGATCGGCTCAAAACAACGACCTCAGTGTCATCCTCATCATTTTCGTCCTCTTCCCTTGCCCCTACCCCCACACTGGAGCACTTCCTCTGTAGATCTTCACAGCCCTAGTCATCTCCTTGCTGTACGACGGCAAAAGCATCCTCCCAGCACCTCTTCCTTCTCTTCTAAAACTCCCTCAATAGTGCAGTCGGGGATTCTGTCCCCATACTAAGGCGGATCAAGATCAGGTTCGTTTTCACTGGCAGCTGCACCTCATGCCTGTAGCCTTTCCCAGGCCCACACTCAGCTCTTCCTTCCACACCATTTGCCTGGGTAACTGCCCTGCCTTCAAAGTCACTTCCGAAGTTGACGGCTCCCCAGATCCCGCATTTCCAAACATGCAACTTCCACAACTTCTTCTGGATACCTAATGCATTTGTGTCTTTTTTTCTTTTTGAGACAGACTCTTGCTGTTACCCAGGCTGCAGTGCAGTGGTGCAATCTCAGCTCACTGCAATCTCTGTCCCCCAGGTTTAAGCGATTCTCATGCCTCAGCTGGAACTACAGGCATATGCCACCACATCCAGCTAATTTTTGTATTTTTTGGAGAGACAGGGTTTTACCACGTTGGCCAGGTTGGTTTCAAACTCCTGATCTCAAGTGATCCACCTGCTTCGGCCTCCCTAAGTGCTGGGATTACAGGCATGAGCCACCACGCCTGACCTCTTCGAATGAATCTTATTGATGCTATTTATCTGTATCTTCCATCTTTTATACCCACTCGTACTATCTTAGATTCTAAAATCTCAGAAGGCAAGGCTCATGTCTGCTGGCTTATTTGGGGCCAGAGATGCCAGAAAATCGGGAGCAGAAAGATGCTTAATAAATGCCATTTGAAAATTAGTGAAGGAAGTGAATTTAAAGCAAAATGGGAGTGAGGAAGATGAGTCACATGGAACTTTCAGTTTTGCTCAACACCCATGTGTGAAGCCACTCACTGCAGGGGCGTAGGTATCACAGCGCTCATCCTAGGGCATCCACATCGATAGCACGTTATCGTGCTTTATGCTCCCTCCTCACAGTGCTTTATGCTCCCTCCTCACAGAACATTTGCACACATGATCGCATCTGATTCTCACAACTGGGGAGCCTGGAAGGTGGCGAGGGAGGCCTGTTCTTGTCTGGCTGATGGGGAGAATGAAGTTCAGAGAAGGAATCTGACACAGTCAGTGAGAGACAAAGTAGACTCTGAAAAAAACAATCATGTCTCCAAACATTCTGACTCAAATGTACAGTTTGTGTTACCACTAGAACTTTTTAAAATAGGAAAAAAGAATAGACATGAAATTCAACTGTTCATTGTAGAGTACTTCCAGAAATGGACTCCAAAGCCACACACCGTCCACACGAGGACCTTCTTTTCACGGATCACGTTAATTGAGTGTCTGAAGATGCCTGGGGGAATGGTGCTGCCCACACAGCTAGTTTGTTCTGAGTTTGGTGATTGGTGAAACTGTTGTGGCAGGCCTTGAGAGGAAGCAAGTACACACCACGTGTGCTTTATGACCACCGACAGAGTGCTGGTGATCGGGGCACCCGGGGGCCTGCTCACACCACCCCATAACCACCGGCTGTATATTACACATCATCTTTGGTCTGGACATCTGTTTAAAGGTGTATTGTTTCTAACAATAAAAATACAGTTAAAATCCCTTTATGGTAGTTTGAAAGGCATCAAAATTGCTGTTATAGTCAGCCCACTTTGAAACAGAGCCCTCTTTCTGCAACGCTCAAAGGAGGTCACCATGTTTAATATACTCTATGTGCAAACCCTTATGGCACTGAGCAGAACTGGAAGAGAAGGGGCCATTTATCCCATTTGCTGTCACATGATTTGAATTCATTATATGGTGTCCAGAATAAAATTCTGCTTGGATATCTGAAGTTCTTAATACAATATACAGCAAACCTGGTATTTTTGAGTGACATGCAAAGAGAATCCTTCAGTTTGGGGAGAGTCTAGTATTAAACCAAGACCAAGGTATTAAACCCAGAAGGGGCCCTTCTCTCCAATGCTCCTTGGAGCCTCTGAGGGTCGCCTGACAAGATGCCGCCCGTCCTTTATCATCCTTGAGAGACTTACTCTCCTGCACCCCTTCTGTCCAGATGAAAACTGGCTCCACTCCCCAGAACCAACTTTCCTCATATTGTAAGACTCTAAATCTGTACGACAGGCCTGAAACACGGTTTTGAAATCCAATGATTCCACTTTGGAAACCTGTTTCAGCTGTTTTAGGGATCTCAAAACTTGGCACAGATACACAGGTTTTGATTAGTCAGAGCCCCAAATTCTAGCCCCTCACCTGTTATTCAATTAAAAGTACAGTCATGCACACATAAGGATGTTTTGGTCAGTGATGGTCTGCATATTGATGGTAGTCCCATAAGATTATAAAACTGTATTTTTACCATACCTTTTCTATGTTTAGATATGTTTAGATACACAAATACCACTGTGTTCAGCACAGTAACATGCTGTACAGGTTTGTAGCCTAAGAGCAACAGACCACGTCACACAGCCTAGGTATGTAGTAGGCTAGACCATGTAGGTTGTGTAAGTACATTCTAGAATGTTGGCACAGCAACAAAACAGCCTGATGACACATTTCCCAGAATGCATCCCCATCGTTAAGCGATGCATGACTGTATTCGTTGATCTAATAAAAACGGGTTCATAGTGGAAAAATCTCTTAGCTAAGCCTGCTTTTCTTCTGAGTTTCACTCAGGTACCCTTGTCACTGTTTTCTTTACCATGATTTGGAATGTGGGGAAATGTTTACATCAGGAGTAAACCTTCATCAAGATGATCCCCTCTTAGGCCCAAAGAGCGTAAGACAATTTTAATAGCCACTCGACAGAATAGCACAATAAAATCAGAAATGAGAAACAATTCTCTCCTTTTCCTTGAAGTCTCAAAGCTCTTTTACATTGCTTGATTCGTTACAAAGAGGCTGAACTGAACTCAACTTCACTTCCAGGTTTTGAACACAGGGCATGTGACTGGTAGAGATGTATGCATAACAATTTGGTGGTCCTGGGAATTATTACATAACTTTTGCTTACAGATTTCTCATTCAAACATAATTTGTGAATAAATCAACAGCAAAGTGGAAGAAAGGATCAGTAAGGATCTCTCAAAAGCCTCATTTTATAGGATTGGGCTTAGCGATCCGTGCTGAATTGGGACGTGGCCAGGAGCTACGTGTGCCGAATTAAGAAACAGCAAAAGCAATTAAGAACGGAGATCTAATCTTCGGTCTGTATTTGGGATAACCAAATAAATATTCAGCTTTTTGCCCTGCTTTGGGAGGGATTTTTCTAGGACAAAATGAAACCTTTAACTTATTCTTCCATTGAAAAAGCCAAAGTTGCGTTTCAGACATGAAGGGGAAGGGCCCTTGGAACTGTAGCACCAGAAGGAGGAGGAAGAATGCAGGTGATGGCTTCGCGTGGAGTCATCAGGCTCTACAACCTATCATTTGGTTTCTCACTAGTAGCTTTTTAAAATTCCCAAACAGTCTTAGTATTCTTGTCGTTAATGTTACTATTAAAATAAGTTCCTATGGAGTAAAAGAGAAAAATCAGCTGTTCATAAAATGTCTTCAAACCGCTTCTCAGAAAACAAAGCAGCAGGTTCATCGTACACGTACCAGTCTCCATCCCACGGAAACTCTTGGTTCCTTTCATCCCGATGCGGTCTATACATTTTAATCACTGCCTTTAAAAAAGAGACGAATGCAGTCCTTTTGTTAGCTTAGTTTTGTGTTTTGTTTTTGTGAAGTGCTGCTGGCTTGTGGCCAAAGTACATACATTGCAACCGAACCCAAGTGGTCACACAATTGCCAGCCCAGTGAAAGGCTCACGAGCTGTCACATGACTCATGGCATCTTGGAAATCGCAACTTGCTCCCTCCAGCGGGCAGGCTGCCCAGGAGGCGCTCCTTCCTCTTACAAACACCCACTCAGTTGATTTCCTTTTGGTGTTGCTTCCACGGGAAGCGGATACTTGGCAAATCTGCGAGGCGGGCCGATCAGCTGTGGAAGTTCTGCACGGTGCTCTGTTTCTGGGAGAGCCGGAGGAGCTCCTCGCGGATCGCTTTGATGAGAGAGGCTGAGGAGTGGCCGGGCTGCAGGTCCTCCGTGGAGCTGGTGGGGTAACCCAGCCCGGGGCCCTGCAGCCCCCGCTGGGGAAGGTTCCCGGGAGGAGCTGAGGGCTCCCTGCCTGAAGTCCTTGGCACCTGAAATAGCGGTGAAGAAGAATACTCTTGATGGCCGAGCATGTGTGTCTGAAAAACACGGCAAACGTTACTGTACTTCCTACAGAAGGAAAAGCGGGAATGTCAAGTGCAAACTGGCTTTGGGAAGGTTCCCAGGACCGCCCACATCCATCCACGAACTCAGCCCTCCAACAGGGCCCTGCCGCCTACGCCCCCGTGTGGAGGTGAGGGGTGAAGACACCAGGGGGCTGGGGAGAACAGGGAGGGGGAGGCTGGAGTGCCCCAGGAGGTGAAAGGCCGTGTGATATCTGATTGCTGAAGGAGGTAAGTGGATCCACGCAAGACAGGCAAGGGGGACAGCTGCCTCTGCCCTGGACTGACGCCCACAAAACCACCATCTTCCGCTTTATCTGGCTGCTCTCTTTGTGTGCCTGTGTATGTTTGTGTGTGTCCGTCTGTCTGTCTACTGGGGGTTCTGTAGAGCCTTTTCTTTAAAAAGTTATCTGCACTAAAGTATAAAATAGTGTTGCTGATATCTGCAGCATACAGATTAATTTGGCAGTAGTTTCACAAGAATGATTACACTTTTCAGAATTTTTTTCATGTTTTTTTTTTTCTCTTTTTTTTCTCAGTGGAAAAAAATGTCTCTTTGCATTTATATGTAAGAGTACTTAAATCTGTGTACTAAAAACATATGCTGGGGCCAAGTTATTCATGAGCCAAAGATGGCATTCCAGCTCTTGGTTCTTTCTACGTTCCACTTCTCCAAATAGTGACCAAGTGGTGCTCCAAAGTGGATGTGACAGGAAAATCTTAACACCCCACGCCAGGCACGGTGGCTCACGCCTGGAACTCCAATCCTTTGGAAGGTCAAGGAGAGAGGACTGCCTTGAGGCCAGGTGTTCGAGACCAGCCTGGCCAACATAGTGAGCCCTGTCTCCATTTTTTTATAAAAAGCAAAACACCAAAACCAACCCCAAACATCTCATGAAGCTAAGCTGGGCAACATGAAGACAAAAAAAGAGAAATGGCAGCAAACTTAAAGCAGATACCTGAGACTATAACAATGTCTCTTTTAGGGAAATGTCATATTCTAAAGTTAGCGTCCTTTGATTAAGCAAGAGAATCCGGATATGAAAGGAATTTAGTGTGTCTGTTGGGAAGGTACAGAAATGCAACGAACACTGTAGCATAATGATAAGGATAAAACAAAAAGTAATATTCTGGTTTTCATTTTCAACTTCATTAATTTATTCCCCCAGGATGTACAGTTCTTGAGAAAGGCAAATGAGAGCACTTGCAGGAATCACGGGTGTTCATACTGAGTGAGCGAACAGAAGTCTCAAAAAGAAACCCTGTGTCTTAAAATGTCCCCAACTGTGTGCTTATTACAAAATTACCTACTCATGGTCACAATACAAATGACGTTAATAAACCCACAATGAATCACAAATGCTGTAGAAGAGCAGGAATTTCTACACGGCGATCCCACCAAACATGAACTCCAGAGTTTAGTCAACTATAGATTCAAATTTACTATTGAAAGCTTGAACTCTGCCTCAAGAAAAATTACATACTTCCCGAAAGTGAGATGCTAAAACTGTAAACCGAAACACAAGCAATTGGGAAACGTGAGAGAGATTTAAAGTTTTCTTGACGTCGGTTTTAAAAAGGGACCCCCAAAGCAGAAGCTGCTAAATTGAGGGATTATGTCTACACTTGTTTTTCTTTGAGACGGAGTCTCACTCTGTCACTCAGGCTAGAGTGCTGCAGTGCGATCTTGGCTCACTACAACCTCCACCTTCTAGGTTCAAGTGATTCTCCTGCCTCAGCCTCCCGAGTAGCTAAGACTACAGGTGCCTGCCACCACGCCCAGCTAATTTTTGTGGGGTTTTTTGTATTTTTAGTAGAGACCTGGTTTCACTACGTTGGCAAGGCTGGTCTCAAACTCCTGACCTCATGATCTGCCCACCTCAGCCTCCCAAAGTGCTGGGATTACAGGCGTGAGCCACCGTGCCTGGCCTATATCTAAATTGTAATTGATGACTCCAACAGGAGATACTCACGGCCTCTCTTCGCCCCGCTTCATCTTCCCCGTACGAAGGCCAGCCTGGCGCCCCATACTGGCTGCCTCTGCTTGATGGGATTTCTACCGGCTGAGCTCCCATTCTGCTGGCAATTCCCACCTGCGTCAGGTGCTGGATCTGGGAGCCTAGAAGAACATGGTGGAGTGGTCTGGTCAACATTTTAGGAGAGTGTGGCTGCTGAGGAAGACACTGTCGGCTCTGACCACTGCACTCCTTCAGGACTAGGGGTCATGACTTGGTACCAGTTCTAGCTCCAGAAATCTCACCTCAACTGCCATACTGTCAGCATTTCCTGAGGGTCTGGTAGGTAGGGAAATGCACCACGAAGCAACGTGGACCAAGCGATCCGAATAAACAAATGAAAGAAGAAAATCCCACTGCAAAAAGTCTGAAACAGAATTCGTGACTCCCCGACATTCACCCCTGCCTAAGCCTGTCCTGTTTCACCATCCCCATTTCCACATAGGACAATGTAGTCCTACTTGCTCAGATCTAAAAACTATACCCTATGCCCAATTCCTCTTTCCCTCGCGCTTCCTAGCAGCCCATCAGAAAGCTTGCTGGCTCCTCTCCTGAAGTGCTGCGTGAGGGTGACCCTCCTCCCTGTGAGCACAGCAACAGCCCAGTGGAACCCCCATCCCAGCCTTGATACAACTGTTTCCCCATGAGTTCCCCATGCCTAGGCAGGGTGTATTCCCCCCAAAACACCCTGTCAGAAGACACTCTCAGCTCTGACCAGTGCACTCCTTAAGGACAAGGGATCACGACTTGTACCAGTTGTATCTCCAGAAATGGTATTTCCTAAGAAAAACAGACCATGAGCTTCTTGGTTCCTGGACTCTGACTTCCTTTGAATTCAGAGGCTGACAGTGCTTGCCCTTATTTTCGTGGCTAGACATCAGGACTGGGGATAAATGGTACAACAGAAGGTTCTTCCATTCATCTCTGTGGAGGTTACCAATAAGGAGCAGCTCATTGATTACGAAAGGAGTGGAAGGTTTAGAGTCATCATGAAGCTGAAGCCTGTGGCTTTGAGATTCACAAGGAACCTGGATATACAATACGCTTATTTTTTTCCTTAAAAGGCAGGATATATATGTATTTAAATTCAGCATTTTAAAGTATATTTTCATTATAACTCATATTATGTCTGTAATGTAGCCACAATATAATTAAAACCAGTCCCCCAGTTTCATCAGTGCAGTGAGCTGGTGACAGAGCCAGAGGACTCTGTAGAGCTAATCACTCTACAACACTCATACGCTCAGACATCTGCGGCCTCCTGTGGCTATGGAAGCCAGGTAATAAACAATATTTTTCTTCCTCATCAGCTTGGGGCATATGGAAATACACCTATACTGCAAATTAAGGGAGGAAAAAAGTGATCCTTAAGTACTGTGAAACAGAAATACTTATTTCCGGCTGGGCACAGTGGCTCATGCCTGTAATCCGAGCACTCTGGGAGGCTGAGGCAGGTGGATCAACTGAGATCAGAAGTTCAAGACCAGCCTGGCCAACCTGGTAAAACCCTGTCTCTACTAAAAATACAGAAATTAGCCTGGCCTGGTGGTAGGCACCTGTAATCCCAGCTACTCGGGAGGCTGAGGCAGGAGAATTGCTTGAACCTGGGAGGCAGAGGTTGCAGTGAGCCGAGATCATGCCACTGCACTCCAGCCTGGGCCACAGAGTGAGACTCCATCTCCAAAAAAAAAAAAAAAACCATACATTTCCAAATCTGCTATCATCAAACTCACCTGTGATGCTCCAACTGCAGCTAAACGGCTCCAAGCGCCCAAAGCTAAGGCAGGCACCTCCTCCATCTTTAAGTCTATCCCGATTCCAGTTGCCTAATTAACAACCTCAATTATCTCAATTCTTTAAGAGATAGGGTCTCACTATGCTGGCCAGGCTGGTCTTGAACTCTTCCTAGCCTCAAGAGATCATCCCATTTTGGCCACCCAGCATGATGGGGTTACAGCTGTGAGCTACAATACCTGACCAACAACCTCCAATCATCAACCACATTAAAAAAAAAAAAAGAACTCTTTAATGGTTTTATTTGGATATTTAATGGTAATTAAAGTCAGGAAAAGCTGTCATGGCTCTGGGCAGAGCAATGCACTCTACCGGAGCACCAGGTCAGTTACTGAAAAACCCGAACAGTATTAAAATGATCGGGACTACTAGCACTGCTTGCCCAACAGGCGTTGTTTGAGCAAATCTTGCAAAATGCTGTAAGAGCAGCGCAGTGTTGCCACCATTTCCAAAGGCTCAACCAACTGCACAGGGAGAAAAGCACACCTCCTGTGTAAAGCCACTATAGTAGCGGAAATCATCATTTGGTAGGATTTTTGTACCCTGCGTTGTTCACGTAACAATACAGGAGAGGCTTCCCCCATAAGTCCGCACTGAGCTCAGCAAGCTGGGGTTTGCATTCCAGCTCAGCCACCAACAAGCCCTGCGACCCTGAGCGACTGGCTAAAGCTACCGCTGAAACTTGATTCCTCACTTCTCCAGCAGGGATAAAAAAATCTACCTCAGAAGGGCACGGTGGCTCACGCCTGTAATCCCAGCACTTTGGGAGGCCAAGGCAGGAGTTCACAATCAGCCTGGTCAGCATAGTGAAACTCCATCTCTACTAAAAATACAAAAATTTGCTGGGTGTGGTGGCATGCACCTGTAATCCCAGCTACTCAGGAGGCTGAGGCAGAAGAATCACTTGAGCCCAGGAGGCGGAGGTTGCAGTGAGCCAAGATGGTGCCACTTCACTCCAGCCTGGGTGACAGAGCAAAAACTCCCTCTCAAAAAAAAAAAAAAAAAAAAAAAGAAGGAAAAGAAAAAGAAAAAGAAAAAGAAAAAAAAAATCTACCTCAGAGGGTTATTTCCAGGATTTAAAAGAGATAAAACAGATCAAGCATCAAACGCATAGGAGGCAACTGGTAAATCTCAAATTCCCCTTTTCTGGCTTTTTATGACCTCTTCATCTTAAGTAGCTGCACGATTTCCTCAGGGATGGCCTTCCTCCTACGTATATCTAGGGAAGCTAACAATATTTTGCTATTATGCAAATAATGCTGTGATAAATATCTTGACACATGTCATTTCCCCCTAATATTTTGGATTTTAGGAGAGTGAGCCTGGATTTCCAAAACTGGAATTACCAAATCAAAGGCTTGGTAAGTCCTACTGCCAGACTGCTTTCCAAAAGTTTAATAATTTACGCCACCATTGAGAATAATAGTGATGACCGTCACGGCAGCTGATATTCATTGAAAGTTTATGCTATGCCAGGTACTATTTCAAGCACTTCTGTCATCTTCTTTTATCAGCCAAACCACCAAGGAGGTGAGCACGAATATCCCTAGCACAGAGGAAGAAACTGGATGCTAATTTTACCATACCACATTATTATAAAAATAATTTCATGATTGAAATGGTGCATTATGGTATTAATTTGCATTTTTAAAATAATCTTAAAACTGGACCTTTTTCCTTTTCCTACTGACCTTTTCAGGTTGGCCTGTTTAATTTATATGAGGTATCTTCTACAATAAAAATACTTCTTGTTGTGAGGTGCTACAAATTTTTCCAAGGTGCTATTTTCTTTTTTTGAAAATAATTGGCAATTTTCAGACATATATATGTTTCATAAAGTTCTATAGTTAAAAAGGTAATCCTTCTAATAGGTCTTAAACATTTTCCATAAATTTTTACATAATTTCACCTAATAGAAATTTTAAAAGAATTTCCTTTTGAATGTTTGATATGTGTAATTTCTATATTCTTTCAGATTTAAAAAAATTTTTTTTATTTTTTTTTAGAGATGGGGTCTCGCTATGTTGCCCAGGCTGGAGTGCAGTGGCTATTCACAGGTGCAATCCTGCTACTGATCAGCATGGGAGTTTTGACCTGCTCTGTTTCCGACCTGGGCCGGTTCGCCCCTCCTTAGGCAACCTGGTGGTCCTCCACTCCCGGGAGGTCACCATATTGATTCCGAACTTAGTGCGGACACCCGATCGGCATAGCGCACTACAGCCCAGAACTCCTGGGCTCAAGCGATCCTTCCACCTCAGCCTCCCTAGTAGCTGGACTACAGACACATGCCATCGCACCCAGCTCTTTCAGATTTTAAATTAAAAATTAATATATCTGAATTTTTCTTAGTATATATGCCATGTAGGGAGGTTCAAAGATCTAGCAATTAACAGGGGAATCAAGACTCACTGCAGACCAAAGCACCTGTAAAGTTCAGGAAATCCTATAGGATTCCAGGAGACATGATTTGTTTTGCAGACTAATAGCCAATGCAAAATAAAAGAATTTCCTAGAAAAATCATAATGAAAAAATATCAACCAATTATTGCAAATTTCGAATTGACTTAAACTACTTGCTTTTGTTTGGTTTTGAGATCGAGTTTTGCTCTGTCACCCAGACTTTGAGAGTTGTTCGTTACAAGCTGAAAAATGCACCTTCTTTAAAACTAACTCTTGTTTTCATGCCATCCAAAGTGCTCAGAGTGAGATCTTTCATTTACAGTAAGGATTTGGAAGCATTTTTCCTGGAGGGAGCATGTCGTGAATTTCACACGAAGGGGCTGGTTCCGGAGCCAATCGGCAGACAGCAGCTTTGGGAGCTCAGGCTCTCTCCCCCTTCCCACCTCCGTCACGGTCAGGATCTGAGCGGAAACATCCCTGAAAAACGGCAGAGGCCCCTGCTCGCTGGACACTGACACTCTGAGAAGCCCAAAATCAAGTTTCTTTCAATTTAGCCAAAAAGTAAATGTCCCATAACTCAGAAATGCAAGCTAAACAGCCACATCTACCTGTGGTGCCCCCGACAGGCCGAGGCCGGGCCACCGACGGCATCTCCTCCGAGTAGATCCCTCGGGCAGCAAACGGGGCTTCCGCGGACGCCTGTGACTGCTGGGGGTCAGGAGGCACCAGCTCTGAAGACTGCAGCAAACCGGGGCCAAAACCTGGTCTGAGGGCAAAGCAAACAGGCACATCACGACTCCACTGCACCCTGGCCCTGGTATTTCATGAGGTCCACCCCCAACTCTACAGAAAGGTAACACTTATTTGTCTACCTGCTTAACCATCTCCCCTGCTGGAAGGGGAAGAGATGTCTCTCCTGCTCCCTGAGGGAAGGGACTTCTCTATTTGTTCACTGTCCTACCTCCAGCACTAAGAACAGTGCCTGCAATACAGCTGATACTGACAAACCCAGGGCCTGCTTGTCTCCAGCATCTGCCAAGTGCTGTGCTTCCTACCCCGCCTACATGTTGGTGTCACCTGGGGGGCCTGAAAAAAATCACCACGCTCACACCGCATCCCAGATGAGTTCAAACAGAAGCACTAAAGGTGTGACCAACATGGCGGTAATTTTTAAGACTACACATGATCCTGGTGTCCATCAAGGCTGAAAACCAGTGTTCTAAAGCAGCAATCTCAAAGTTTTATTTCCAGACCTCTTTTGACTCATAAAAATTATTGAGGACTCCCAAAAGCTCTTGTTTATGTGGATTGTACTGATACTTACCAGATTAGAAATTAAAATGGAAAAAAATGTAAATATTTTTAAAAATTTACAAATAACAATTAAACATATATTAACATAACTTTTATAAAATTAACTATATTTATCAATCCCCTCTCAAAAAAAAGTAGTGAGAAGAGTAGCACTATATTGTTCAAATTTCCTTAATAGAAGGATTCTCATATAGTTTGCATCCTGTCAGTTGCTGGATGTTAGGAAGAAAATCTGGCTTCACAGAATGCATAGTTGGAAAAGGAAGGAGTATTTTAATAGCCTTTTCGGATAATATTTTTTAAAAAATATTTCAGCTGGGTGTGGTGGTTCACACCTGTAATTCCAGCACTTTGGGAGGCTGAGGTGGGCAGATCCTGAGGTCAGGAGTTTGAGACCAGCCTGGCCAACGTGGTGAAACCCCGTCTCTACTAAAAATACAAAAATTAGCTGGGCATGGTGGTGCATGCCTGTAATCCCAGCTACTCAGGAGGCTGAGGCAGGAGAATCGCTTGAACCCAGGAGGTTGAGGTTGCAGTGAGCCGAGATCATGCCACTGCACTCCAGCCTGGGCAACAGAGTGAGACTGTGTCTCAAAAAAATAAAAAATTCAGACATTCTTCATGACCACACCAAAATTCAACAAGTGACAGTTCTTCAGTTGCGATGTGTAATCTGAAATGATATTGGTGAACTTTCCATACTCTGTTACACTGAAACACAAAGCTCCCTCTTGCACTTTGAATGGATCTCTAACCCATGCCTGATCATATGACATCCATCATTTGGAACATAGTTCACTGAGTTATGCAAACTTTCTCAATATTGTTACCTCTCATTGTGCAGCACTGAAAAATCCCATTCACTAATCTCATCATCGAACTTGGCCAGAAGAGTCTTTAAGTATGTACTAGGAAGTTGTCATGTTCACAGTGGCAGGCAGACAACTTTCCAAAATTCAAATTTTTACTTGAAAGCTCATTTTATCATTAGCAACAAAGACTGGCAGTTGTTTTTCTTGAAGTGACAGGCTCACTTCATTCATTTTCAAGACAGTGCCTGCCAAACATCCGGGTCTGAATAACCACGTCTCCCAGCTGTTTGTTCAAGTAAAAAGCATAAAAGCAGTTGGTTCAGTTCAGTCTTAAAGAATGGGAGCAAGGGCTTTTCCTTCAAAATTCCATATTCTACAGGAATGCTTTCTATGTATTTCTTCTTTTGTCCCACAGACTACTAAAGACTTAAGAGTCTAGGTTTAATAAGATTTATGATTTTGACTATATCACCAAGGGCATGCTAACATAAAACCGGCATTTTTAAAACTGTGATGACACAGCAGTGAAGAATACGATGACTACTCATACAATTCGGTGGCACTGCCTGGATGCACGCTAAAGACTAGCAGTTTTGGCTGGACATGGTGGCTCACACCTGTAGTCAAGGTGGGCAGATCACCTGAGATCAGGAGTTCGAGACCAGCCAGGCCAACATGGCAAAAACCTGTCTCTACTAAAAATACAAAAATTAGCTTGGGCGTGGTGGCACAGGGAAGTAATCCCAGATACTCAGGAGGCGAGGCATGAGAACTGCTTGAACCAGGGAGGTGGAGGTTGCAGTGAGCCGAGATCATGCCACTGCACTCCAACCTGGGCAACAGTGCGAGACTCTGTCTCAAAAAAAAAAAAAGATTAGCAGTTTCACCCACCATTGCTTTGCACTTTGGTACAAATGTCAATACAATGGAAAAGGGAAAGTAACATCTTACTAATATGAAAACCGTCTTGATCTCACAGACTCCCCCTGCCCCCGAAAAGGTTTTAAGCACCCTCCAGGAGTCTCAGAACCCCCCCTGAGGACCACTCTATAGTTCTTTGCAAATGATGCTGAACCAGTAATTCACAGATTTCACCAGTTTGGTCAGAATGTAGGCCGACCTGCACTTACTGTCCAGTGTGATTTCTAGAGTGTATCTCATAAACTGAAACCCAGGTTACCTGTGTTACTCTTTTTAAATAACTGCTGCTGTTTTAGATTGGCCTCAGAGAGGGATGTGTGACACCCCTGACTTTATACATCTAAGAGCTTCCCATGAGGCATGCTCCTCCTTCAAGACCTGTAAACTGGAGTCCACGCCTCACCTAACCACAACTTCTGGACGGTCCACCCACAACTAGCTCTTCCCATTCACTTAATTCCTCCTTCTTTTCCCCCACCTCTTGTCTACATTTCCATCTCTTTATTTTTAACACAGTTTACAATCCAACACTCTAAAATCCTTTAAAGTGGGTGATTATATGATTCATCATCCACACCACAACACTTTCGAAGGTGAAAGCTATTAATAATGGGACCAACCTGGTCCGTCCCCATCTCTAACTTCTGCCCTGCATCACCTGACCTCACCTCACCAGTTTCACCTTTCCTGTTTTTGGACCACAGGGCTGTGTGGTAGGGAAGAAAAGCAAAGCAAACCGCTCTAAAAATGATGATGGATTTTTAAAAAAATAGAAAAGAAAGTAGGAAGCAGATAATGTTCCTTCTTCTGTGTGACTTCTGGTCTCTGAAGGGATGGTTGGGTTTGATTTCTGAGATTCACTCTGTTTTACTGCAATGCCAGCTTTGTAATAAACCAATGTCCACACATAGGTGGTTGACTGGTCTATTTCCCTTGCCTCACCGCAATGCTGTACCAACTTAATCACTTGACAGTAATGTACAACATTTAGAATGGTCCAACATCTTCTTCTCTCTCAAGGTGTCTGGGCTATTCTTGGCCCTTTGCATTTCCAGATAAATTTTAGAATCTGTCTGTCGGTTTCCACATATTAAAAAGAAATTACTGAAATTTTGAATGGGATTGCATTGAATCTACAAATCATAGGAGGAGAAATAACATTTTAAAAATATTGAGTTGCCCAATCTGTGAACATCTTTCTTTAGAGGGCTTAAAAGTCTTTTCTGTTTGTTGCTTATATAAAACAGATTTTTGTAGACTGATTTTATATCCAGTTATTTTGCAATTTAGTTGGCTTGCTATTTGGCAATTTTGCTAAATTCCCTAAATTCTAACAATTTGTGTGCTGACATTTTAGGATTTGCTACTATAGAAGCATATCGTCTGTGAATAATAACATTATTACTCCTTTCTTTGAATTCTTTACTCTTTTCATGTTTTTCTTGCCTTGTTACAGGGTAATTTCGAATAGAAGTCATGTGAGCAGGAAAGTCTGACTTGTTCTTGCTCTCGGAGAGAAGGCTTTTTAACATTTCACCGCTGAGTAATATTTGTCAAGATACCTTTTATCAGAATAGACAAGTTCACTTCTATTCTTTGTTTGCTAAGATTTTTACCATGATTGCATGTTGAATTTTACCACCCGCTGCATCTATTGAAAAGACAAGTTTTTCCTCCTTTATTCTCCTTAAAGTAGTAACTTACACTGCTTGGTTTTTAAATGCGAAATCACTCTTACATTGCTGGAAAGATATCCAATGTGGTTGTAACATGATATCCTTTTGTATCTACTGCTGAGTTATGCTCACGGATATTTAGTTTCAATTTTTTTACATCTACGTTCATGAGAAACTGGCCCTCAATTTCCTTCCTGCAATGTCCTTGTCCTTCTTGCCCTTGTCCTGGTATCAAGGAAATACTGGTTTCATAAAATGAATTAAGAAGTGTTCTTTTTCTATTTTGTGGAAGAGTTTGTATAATACTGGTACCTTTTCCTCCTTCAGTGTTTAGTAGAATTCATTGTTGAAGCCGGCTGGACCCGGAGTTTTGTTTGTGGGAAGAACTGTGATCATAATTTCCACTTTAAACATAGTTAGAGGACTATTCAAGTTTTCTCCTTCTAGACATTTTTCCATTTCAAGAAAAAAAAAAAATTGAGACAGGGTCTCACCATGTTGCCCCGGGTAGTTTCAAACTCCTGAGCTTAAGTGATTCTCTCATCTCAGCCTCCAGAGTAGCTGAGATTACAAGCATGCACCACTGCATACAGCCCCAACTTTATTAAGAAAAATGGGTTTATAAAATCTCCTTTTTAATGTCTGTAAGATCTGGATTAATACATCCTTTTAATTTCTCTTATTGATAATTTGTTGCACAGATTATTTGATCAAGCTCGTGAGAGTCTATCAATTTTATTAGTTTTTAAAGAACTAACTTTTGGCTTTATTAATCCTCTCTTAATGTGGTATTTATTTTCTATTTCATTAATTTATATTATTAGTATTAGTATTTCTTTACTTCTGCTTCCTTTACATTTAATTGGATCTTCTTTTTTTATATCTTGAGGTGGATGCTTAGATCACTGATTTTCAGCCACTTTTCTTTCCAATATATGCATTTAAGACAACAAATTCCCCCCAAACACTGCTACAGCTGCATCTCACAACTTTTGATACATTGTATTCTCATTATTATTCATTTTAGGATGTTTCAATTTCCATTTTGATTTCTTCAGTGTACCATAGGTTATTTAGAAGAGTACTAATTAATTGGCAAATAGAAATTTTTCTTTTTTTTTTAACTTTTATTTTAGGTTCAGGGGTACACATACAGGTATGTTATAAAGGTAAACTCATGGGGTTTGTTGTACAGATTATTTCATCACCAGGTATTAAGCCTAGTACCCAACAGTTATTCTTTCTGCTCCTCTCCCTCTTCCCACCCTCCACCCTCAGGTAGGCCCCAATGTCTGTTGTTCCCCTCTTTGTGCCTGTGAGTTCTCGTCATTTAGTTCACACTTATAAGTGAGAACATGCCGTATTTGGTTTTCTGTTCCTGCATTAGTTTGCTAAGGATAATGGCATCTGGCTCCATCCATGTTCCTGCAAAGGACATGATTTTGTTCTTTTTTATTGCTGCATAGTACTCCATTGCATATGCATACCACTTTTTTTTTATCTAGTCTGTCACTCATGGGCATTTAGGTTGATTCCATGTCTCTGCTATTGTCAATACTGCTTCCAGGAATACTTGCATGGATGTTTCTTTACAGCTGAACAATTTATATCCTTTTGTGTATCTACCCATTAATGGAATTGCTGGGTCAAAAGGTAGTTCTGGTTTTTTTTTAAAAAAAACATCAATTACTTTACATTTATTTAAATATACTAATCAAAACACATCTTATGAAGCATCTTTTCTGTGACAATCTGGTCTGTGCCGGATCCACTCTCTGCCGCTGTTTTCTGACACCAGTTGGTAGTTCTGTTTTTAGGTCTTTGAGGAATCGCCACACTGCTTTCCACAATGGTTAAACTAATTTACACTCTCACCAACAGTATATAAGCATTCCCTTTGCTCCACAACCTCACCAGCATCTGTAATTTTTGACCTTTTAATAATAGACATTCTGACCTGGTATGAGGTGGTATCTCATTATAATTTTGATTTGCATTTCTCTAATAGCCAGGGATACTGAGCTTTTTTTCATATGCTTGTCGGCTGCATGTACGTCCCCTTTTGAAAAGTGTCTGTGTCCTCTGCCCACTTTTTAATGGGGTCGTTTGTTCTTTTTCTTGTGAATTTAAGTTCCTTATAGATGCTGGGTATTAGACCTTGGTCAGATGCATAATTTGCAAATATTTTCTCCCATTCCATAGGACAGACAATCTACAGAATGGGAGAAAATATTTGCAAACTAGAGCCTTTGCTGTGCAGAAGCTCTTAAGATTAATGAGATCCCATATGTCAATTTTTGCTTTTGCTGTGATTGTTTTTGGTGTCTTCATCATGAAACCTTTACTCATTCCTATGTACAGGATGCTACTGCCTAGGTTGTCTTTCAAGGTTTTTATAGTTTTGGGTTTTATCTTATGATTTGTTCTAACTTAATTCTACTAGGATTAATAAATACACTCTGCGTGATTTCACTTCTTGAAATTTGTTAAGATTTGTTATGGTCCAGCATATGGTAAATTTTTAATATACGTTTTAAAGGAAGATGTATTTTAAAATATGTTTTAAAGGAAGATGTATTTTACAGTTGAGTCCAGGGTTCTATATACGTCAATCAGGTCAAATTGATTAATCATGTTGTTCCAATCTTCTATATCCTTTCTGTATCTTTATATTTTCTGATGTGTCACTCATAAGTCAAATATATTTTTTAAAAATCAAATATAATAACCTTTGTTGTTTAATTGAAACCTCTGGTTATTAATATTTAATGTAATTAATTATAGATCTGGATTTAGATATCTACCATTTTAAATTATCTTTCTGAATGTCCTGCAAATTCTAAATTCTTTCTTCTCCTATTTTCTACCTTCTTTTGGATTCTTTATTTTATTCTTTCTTATTATTTTATATTTAAGCATTCTTTTAGTGAGCCTAGGCCTACACTAGAATCCTTCACTTATAACAGTCTAACATAAAGTAGTATTTTTACATCTTCCTGGACAATGGACCTTAGCTCCATATTAAGCCTGAGTGTAATTATTTTAAAATCTGTGTCTGCCGGGCGCGGTGGCTCAAGCCTGTAATCCCAGCACTTTGGGAGGCCGAGGCGGGTGGATCACGAGGTCAAGAGATCAAGACCATCCTGGTCAACATGGTGAAACCCCGTCTCTACTAAAAATACAAAAAATTAGCTGGGCATGGTGGCGCGTGCCTGTAATCCCAGCTACTCAGGAGGCTGAGGCAGGAGAATTGCCTGAACCCAGGAGGCGGAGGTTGCGGTGAGCCGAGATCGCGCCATCGCACTCCAGCCTGGGTAACATGAGTGAAACTCCGTCTCAAAAAAAAAATAAAAATAAAAAATAAATAAAATCTGTGTCTGATGACTCCACTGTCTGGATCCCCTGTAAGGTCTGCTTCTATTGTCTATTTCTTTTAATCAAAAAAAAAAAAAACAAAAAACTGTATTTTCTTTTCTTCTCATATGCCTGGGGGTAGGTGTGGGTGTGTGTGTGGAAGCAGGGAGCTACTGTAGCAATAATGTAAGGCCCAGAGTGATGTTATCTTCTTCTAAAAGGGATGTTCATTTGTTTCTGCCAGGGAGCAACTCCAATCAACTTTCAAACACTCCCTGCAGGGACTGATCTACTTATGACTCACCCTTACTCCTAGAGTGTAACCCCTAAAGGTCCAAACTCAAACCTCTGGATATTTACCAGGGTCTCCCCTTGTGCTCCCAGCCTCAGGAGTCTGTCAAAAGCTTTGCCTGGCTTCCCAGCTGCCTCTTCTGGAATCTGCAGGTGTCCCTGGGCGAAAAGTGGCCCAAGAAGCAGGGCTCATGCCTCTGGGTTTACTGGATCTTGGTTCTACACCGCTTCACTGCCCTGTTAGCTTTTTTTTTTTTTCTTTAAATGATCAAACAGAATTTATTGGTTGTCTCTGAGTGTCTCTGGTCTGGCTTTGGTAGGACTGTCTGGGTTCCTTTTGTTTGTTTTGTTCCTCTGCTTTGCTTGTTAAAGAGGCTTTAAGGCCCTTTTCTGCTTCTCCAGCTTTTGAGTCTCCTGGAAAACCTTCTCAAAGACATCATAGTTGGTGTTACGGAGGTTTTTGAGCATCTTTTTCCTCTGGTCAATGCTCATCAGCAAATAGCGTTTGTGCGCTTTGTCCTTTCAATGTTTCTGCAGGTGTTCTTCATAACTGCGGATCTTGATGGTCAATTCGCGCCTCCAGCGATCTGGTGTCCTCAGGGTTTGCAGCAATCTTCTTCATCAACTGTTCTTGCATGACTTTTAGCTTCTCCTTTGTGTTGGCCATTTCCAAAGACAAGAGTCTTCTCACGACATCATCAACCTTCTCAATTCCTGGGACATTCTGGTAGTCTTTGCGCAGCATAGAAGGAGGTGGGTCATCATCTCGCCTGGGCTGGGCTGGTTTCTGGATGACATACCTGCGCGTGGCCTGGAGGAGGGGACTTTGAGGTTGCAGGCCCCACTGGCTGGAATGAAACCTGGCGCTCCCACTGCCCAGAAGCCCGGGGATTGGGGCCTGGGTAACTGCCTGGGTCTGAATCAAACTCAGCGCCCTCCACGCAGCCCTCAGCATGGTGACCTCTAAACCACGCGGGGTGTGCGCTGCAGCCACCATTCCCTTTGTGGCACGGACCAGGTTACACTGGCACCGCCATGCTGGCCCAAGCTCGACCAAAATCCTCTCTGGGGTTTTTAATATTAATATCTTGTTCAGCTTTTCCAGTTGTCCTCAGCAGGAGGGCTGGTCCAAATGACCTAGTCTGTCATTACTAGAAGCAGAACTTAAATTCCAACTTTTTTTCCTTCCTCTTCTGGTTAGATCAAGAGAATATACAACTCAAGAGTTTTACATCTGCTCATATTAGCTAAAATTAGTAAATTTATAAAATTTTTAAAAACAGCCTATGTGAAAAAGTGATAATACATTTTGTTTTGAAAACCTTACCTTGACAACGGACCCGTTGGGGGAGTCATTCCATAGTCTTCATATCTCTGAAAGACATTCAAAAGAACGTGAAGATTAATACTCAATACTTATTATAAAGTGACAACAGCAAACATAACTTCAGCTTTACAGGATCAACTTTCAAAAGAATTATTTTCTCATTAAAGCTTAGCATGTTACCGGGCACTCTGCCACCAAGTGATGCTACGGCATTCAGTTCAGGGACCTGTGCTACCAAACTTTGGAAAAGACACAACTAATTTCTAGATCTTTCCTTTTTTATATTACAACTACAAATAGGAATAACTGGCAGGCTTTCTGTGTCTGCTCTTTCCTACAGATCCATCTGTAACTTCTGCTAAAAGGCAGGCATGAGAGACTACATTTAGCACAGTGACTCCAACCACATGAGCCACAAAGATCAACAGACCCAGCAGGTGCCCAGCACCTATTCAAATGCCTCAACCAACTAAATTTATAAAATGCTGTCTCATGGTATAGAATCCTGCAAAACAATTCAACCAGAAACTAGGGAGGCTGTAAAAGACAAAGGCAGCACCTTCTGTTTCTGACTCGTTTTCTGGTCCCCAGGAGACCCAGCTATATTTTCTGCCTGTAAGTTCCATAAGGTGCCCCCTGTATTTTTTAGTCAACTCGCTTTACTTGAGCTAATGTGAACTAGCCAAGTGTTCTTTGACTAAAACAATATGCCACAGGATTTAAAGAAATATACATCTAAGAAATCTGTTGTATTCCTCGTGAAATCAACATATCCTAACCCTAATACATGTGGGACTCTTATTTCAATATTTCTTTTCAGTAACTTGAATTGTTATTTTTGGAATCAGATATTTCAGCAGAACAGTAACTAAGGGCAGAGTTTGTCCATCTGCAGTCAGGTGGAACCAATGGTTTGTCTGAGATGAATAAGTCAGCCTTGCTTCTGAAGTTGCGACGACATTTTTCTTTTTCCAAGCTGTCATTTACGGAATGGGTATTTTGTGTTAATCACTGTATGAGAATTAACGCAGGCCCACAACATCACTAACAAAGTACTCACTGCCTCTGTTTTATGGATAAAACCAACTCAGGTGATTTCCTCCTGCAGTCTTTTGGACTCCAAAGACCATGCTATTCACCAACCCCCAGCACTGCCCATGGTTTCCCAAACCAGACACTCTCCTGTGAACAAATGTCTATTTTGTGAGGAAAAAAGTAGAGGCTTTGGAGTCAGACAGGCTGGCTTAACATCCCTGGGTCTATTCCTTTATGCCAAGAGAATACAATGATCTCCACATTCATAGAGGTCTGAGGGGATTATTAAATATGAAACTGTGGTCAGATGACTTCACCTTCTGACCCTCTCTGCTTCCATCCCCTTGGCTGCCATGTGGAACCTTGTGGAGTCCTTCAACTGACACAAAACAAGGAAAGGGGGTGATGGACAAAGGGAGGAAAAGAAGGAAAAGAAGCTTCCACTCTTTTTCCAAATAATTAAAGGGAGATCTGAGACTCCATAGAGATTATTCACGAGACAACAGTGGCTCCAACTAATGTCCTGGTGTGGATGGATTTGAGAGGAAGAATCAGCAAAGCTCTGGCATGTTCAAATGGCCCTAGCTTTCCATACCTTTCCTTCGCAGCGCCTGGTCTATCATTTCAACTGCTCCCTCTCACCTGCACATCACATGTGCCTGACAAAGCCCTGGTCTTCATCAATCCCAATGCATATACTTGGGTATTGAATGTTCATCAATGAAACTCGAGAACTTTAATTACAGCCACTGCAATTTCATGATAGTCAATCTCAACCAGCCTCAAGGCTAAGAAATAATTCCTATGTCCCTCATCTGTGTTGTCTCATTCTCCGTAACAGGTCTTTCAAATCTCTACTCTCCCTTAAACCTCTGGCCCTGCCACATTTCTCCTCCCATTCTCAATGGATGACTCTGCCTTCTCTGCTGTGAGGATTAAAGTCCTGAGATGGCTGGTTCTTCAACCTCCTGCCATCCAGCTACAAGCTGATTTTACCTGTACCCAACATTTCCTTCCTCCTTCCCATTACGTTAGAAGAAGAATATCCCCTCATTTCTAAAGAAAGCTCCTCCACCGGTATTCCAGATTTGTCTCTTCCCCTTTGTGAACTGTCAAACTCTTCTTCTGCACGGGCTCAGTACCATCAGCCATTAAACATGCTGAAGACCTGCTGATTCCTCCTCTTGGATTCATCAACTGCATTACACTAGCACAAGTCACCAACTCTCTCACCAAAAGTATTACGTCCGCTTTCTTCTGGTCTCTCTGCTTCTGACAACCATTCTTCACTCTACAATGGGACTAATCTTTTAAAAAGGCATGCCTAATTATGTCTCCACCTGCTCAAAACCCATTCATGTGCAGCCATCACCCTCAGGATGAGGTGTAGGCTCCATAACCACCAGGTTCTTGCTTCTCCTCTCCTGCCTCATGTCTCACCACTTTTAGTACTACTCAGCCAGAACTCACTTTACTGCTTAGAACATATTGTAATGGTTAATTTTATGTATCAACTTGACTGTGCCACAGACACCCCAGATGTCTAGTTAAACATTATTTCTGGGTGTGTCTGGAGGGCGTTTCATGAAGAGATTAATATTTGAATTGGTGGACAGTAAGGCAGCCCTCCCCAATATGGGTGGGCATGTTCCAATCTGTTGAAGGCCTGAATAGAAGAAAAAGATGGAGGAAGATTGGATTTGGGCTTCTTCTGCCTGACTGCATGATCTGGGACATCAATCTTCTCCCATCCTTGAAGGCCCTGGTTCTCAAGCTTTCAGATTCAGACTGGAATCCACCTCTCAGGACTTCAGACTACACCACTGGCTTCCATGGATTTGCAGTTTGCAGAGAGCAGATCATGGGATTCTCAGCCTCCATAGTTATGAGCTGACTCCTCCTCATAATAAGTACATTTCTCTCTCTCTGCCTTGCTTGCTCTCTCTCTACACACACACACACACACACACACACACACACACACACACACACACACGGGCGCACATGCACACCTAGTTCTATTTCTCTGGAGAACCCTATTTTAAATAACCCTACATGTGAATGGATTAACAAATGTGGTATATCCATAAGTGGAATACTATCTTATGCTGCTATTTTCTTTGGGTCTGTTTTAAATAAATCTGTACAAGTCTCTATATGAAAATATGCTTTTGTTTCTCCTGGGTAAATACTTAGGAATAGAATGCTGGTTCATATGGTAGGATATATGTTTAACTTTTTAAAGAGACTGCTGAACTGTTTTTCAAAGGGATTGTGCTATTTTACATTTCCACCAGCAGTTCATAAGACTTCCAGTTGTTCACATTCTCATCAACATAATTGTACATTTATTTCTACATGCAATTTTGTCAGTTTTTGCTTAATGCATTTTGAAGCTCTACTACTATGTATATAAACAAGTAAGACTTGATGAACTGACCACTTTATTATGAAATGATCTTCTTAATCTTTAATAATATTCTTTTTTTTTTTTTTTTTTTTTTGAGACAGAGTTTCGCTCTTGTTACCCAGGCTGGAGTGCAATGGCGCGATCTCGGCTCACCGCAACCTCTGCTTCCTGGGTTCAGGCAATTCTCCTGCTTCAGCCTCCTGAGTAGCTGGGATTACAGGCACGCGCCACCATGCCCAGCTGATTTTTTGTAGTTTTAGTAGAGATGGGGTTTCACTGTGTTGACCAGGATGGTCTCGATCTCTTGACCTCGTGATCCACCCGCCTCGGCCTCCCAAAGTGCTGGGATTACAGGCGTGAGCCACCGCGCCTGGCTAATAATATTCTTTACTATGAGACCAACGTTGGCTAACATTAACACAGCCCCTCCAGCTTTCTATGATTAGTGTTAGTATGGCATATCTTTCTCCAAACTTTTCTCTGTACTTTTCCTTTTTACCTATTTGTATCTTTGCATTTAATGAAAATTTCTTGTAGGCAGCATATACTCAATTCTTCCTTTTTATCCAAACTGACAAGCTCTGCCCTTTAATAGGGATGTTTAGACTATTTATATTTAATGTGATTATTGACAGGGCTGGATTTAAATCAACCATATTGGTATCTGTTTATAATTTTTCCTATCTGTGCTTTATTGCTTTCACTTCCTTTTCTGCCTTATTTTGTGCTTTTAAAAAATGATTTCATTTTGACTCCTTTGTTGGCTTATTCATGGTTTCTATTATGCATTTTTCACTTATCACAGTCTACCAGTAAGCACTGTTATTCTGCTTCATTAGAACAACAGAACATTAAAATAGCAAACTTCCATTTCCCCTTTCTTGGCCTTTTGTGCAGCTGTTTCATATATTTACTTCTATATATTTATTACCCCCCACAATATATGCTTATTACTTTCATTTTAAATAGTCAATCCTTTTTAAAGTTTTAAATAATGAAGAGAGGGTTTTAAAAAATAATTCCCCACCCACATATTTATACTTCCACTGTTTTTCATATACTTATGTAGATTCAGGTCTTCACATGGTATCATGGTGCCTTAAAGATTTCTTGTAACATTTCTTATAATGCATGTCAGCTGGTGATGCATTATTTCAGCTTCTGTATGTCTGAAAACGTTTTTATTTCACCTTAGTTTTTGAAAGATATTTTTGCTAGATACAGAATTCTAGGTTAATCATTTGGTCCTTCAGTTCTTTGAAGATTTGTTTCACTGTCTTCTGGACAATGAGATTTCTTCTGTCATCCTTATCTTCGTTCCACTGTATATAATGTGTTCTTGTTCTCTGGCTGCTTTTAAGATCTTTTTGATTTGTTTGAAGCAATTTAGACTATGGCATTTTTTGGTATAGTTTTCTTCATGTTTCTTGCACACAGTGTTCACCAACCAATGGATCTGTGGATTTTCAGTTTCCACCAAATTTGGAAAATTTTGGGCCATTATATCTTTTTAAAGACAATTCTATTGGGTATGTTTGAGGTTTATAACATAATAGTGCTGGCTACATACAGATAGCAAAATGGTTACTTACAGTGAAGCAA